AGGGATCTTATGTGTATTCTCTCTCAAATGGGTTTCTGCTGTTTGGTAAATTTCCTCTTTTGTTTTTTTGGTTTAACTATGAAACTTTTTTGGTCGTTTATACAAAGCTAAGTGAATGATTCTTTGGTTCTGATTTATAGGAATCTTTCCTTTTTGAGTTCTTGGGGTCTACAGAGATTTATTAGTCAATCTCTGTTAAATTACAAAGTTTGTGACTTTCATTTTAGCCTCTATAGTTTGATCATGAGTTTAGTAAACATCTCAGGGCATGATGAACATGGAAGCCAAGATGAGAGAGATAGTGATGGCTCTTTGAGTTCCCCTAGTTCCCAAGGGAATGGAGAATTCTGGACTAGAGATTTATCACCTTCTCCATTATCTGGTCTCGGGAAGGTTACTGTTGAAGAGAAAACACAAGATGCAGATGTTACTCAGGGACAAGGCGCAAAAAGTGAAGACGTTACTGCAGATGTGAGAGGAATGGATCATGAGGTGAATGCTGTAGACAAACCACCCAATTCCTTTCCTGAAAATATAACTCACGATATCGGAAAAGTAGCTCCTCAAGAAGAGGCTGGTGGTGGTAATTCAGTATTGGAAATCGCTCCTGCTGTTGATTCTGTCTCAAAGGTAGTGATTTCTGACAAATGTGAGCGAGTTGGGAGCTCGACAAACTCGGATTCTGTCCAACAGAAGTCTGATGAGGACGAAGTGAAGCCTATACTGAAAGAAGCAAAGGACGGCAACAGTCCAGGATCTGCTGCGGAAACAAGCAAAGAAATCAAGAGTGTGAAAGAATCTGAAGTGCCAGAATGTTCTGAAGAAAAGGTACCATTTCGTTTTCTTTTCTTTTATCATTTACTTGAGCTCATTTTTTAGTTTCCTTAATCTTGTGGACATATATGCAGAGTCTTTTGCCTTCTGGTCCACCAGTTGTTCGAACCTCGTGGTTGAGTTGCTGCGGTTTGTTTGATGTGATGGCTGGATCTGAAAGATAAACACAGGTTAGCCTTAGTTTAAGAATCTGAGTAGCTTCAGTGTTTCTTTTATACAGAATAATTTCACTAAAACTGCATCATTTATGACTGTTGAGTATCCAAACATCCTAGTAAGCAAAGTAAAAGGTTTCATGGACTTGTGAGAGAATTCTGGATAATGGATAGTTCTTAAGGTTAGTGCTCTGCTTAGCTCAGAGTTCAATCAGTCCAGGATCTACTGTTCGTCCTTGCTTTGAAGTGTTTGAAATCGGTCAGAAAAGTTCCAACCAAGCTAGAAGTAACACTCATTTGGCTACTCGATAATACATAGTCTTTGAAAATTTGTTTGCTTTACTTGAAAGCTACCTTGATCTTGTTTATGTGGGTAATCACATAATGACCTAACTTCTAGTATCCACTTCACTCTTTTTCTTGCAACTGTAATTCATAAAGTGTAGTCCATGAATTTTTGGATATGTATCCGAATTCTTTTTTTTTGGTCTCATCGATGTCTTTGTGATGATGATGAAGAACATGCAGGAGGATAGATCAGCATACATTGGACAGCAGAAGCTCAAAGAAGAGCTGATGAAACTGGATTCATGGTCCGTAGATCCTTCTCTGTACATTGAACCATTGATGTCTTTGCCAGATAATAATATGAGCGTGTTTTTGGCAAACATAGGAACAAAGAACAAACAGATTCTTATGTTCACTTTAAGGAATTTTAGATTGATGAGATCTGATCTGAAACATATAGATTGATTATATATTGTCTTTCTATCACAAATTTTGTTTATTAATACCCATGACACACAAAATGAAATCTTAAACGTGTACGTGGATTCATCTGAAAACTAGCAAAAAGAAGAAGGGAGAATGGCCTTTTGTGTCATCATGTTCATGAAGAGGTTCATAGGGAGGGAGACTAGTACTTGTGAACTAAAATGCAGAGGTCTTTGACTTTGTTAAAGCTTCCTGATGATCTAAACAGAGGAAGTTTCCATTGGGTTGAGTCTATTAAACATAATTTTACTACTCTTTATGGGGAACGTGCAGTTGTGTGACTTTCAGAGTAGATTTGATTCCAAATATTGTGATTTCGAAACGGTACGCGTTCCAGTCGGTGTGTATTTTCATCGGGTTACCACCAAACCGACGACGTTTAGGAGACAACTTCCAGTTCAGACTCGTGAGTGTGTCGGCATGGAGAATTAACAAATGTTCGAAATTGCACCCAAAATTAATGTTTTTTTTTGACCTTGTGAGATTTTGAATCAAACCCAACTAGAGATAGATAGATACTAGATCCGATCCGAAAAATCCTACTCTTTCCTTGTTCACAAAGTTGCAATCTTTGAGGATCTTCGAATCCTCTGGTAATCTTTGCCTTCCTCATTCTACTTCCTTTCCTTTTCAGCAAAATCCTTTTTCGATCTCATTGCTTCTTCTGGGTGTTTCTTTCGTTTATTGATTTGATCCTGTTCGTTGATCTTCTCTCAAGTTCCTTAGCAACTTACTTATTAGCTGATGTGTTTCCAGAACTTTTGGCTTCGTTTATTGTGACCTTTTTTTTGTTCAGTTCATCAAATTGGATCCGTTTTAAGTAGTAAGATCTGAGTGTCAGAGGTAACTCGGTTTAGTTTGGTCATCTAGATCAGTATTGTGTTTTTTGCTCTGTTTTCATATGATCATCATCTTCATACAAATATTGCCTAACTATTGTAATCAGTAGTTTCATTTCTTTAAGTATGAATGAATTTTGTCACTTGTGCTTGAAATTGTATGAGCTTTCATATCAATCACTTTGGTAGGACATACCGAGATCCGTAGTGCGTTTTACTGATTTGAGCTTTACTTATTGCGTTCTACGTCTACTGGTTTTATTGCGCCATTGTCATAATCTTTGTAATTGCTTTTCAGGTGAATGTGAGTAAAGTTGGATTAAATCAACGGATATGGCGATGGGGAAGTATTCCCGTGTAGACGGGAAGAAATCATCGAGCTATGGATTAACCATTACCATTGTTCTTGTAGTTTCCCTCTGTTTAGTTGGGGCGTGGATGTTCATGTCTTCGTGGTCTGCCCCGGCTGATTCTGTTGGCTATTCCTCAAGTGGGAATGCAAAAGATGTGGAACCTGCTATTAAGAATGACTTAAAGCAAGAAGAGGGCGATCGAGATCCCAAGAACTTTTCTGATGAAAAGAAGGAGGAAAATGAGGCTGTGACTGAGAACAACGAAGTCAAGAATGATCCTGACCAGTTTGATGAGAGCTCTGGAGAGAAAACTGAGGCAGCTGAGGAAAGAAAGGAGTTTGATGACAGCAATGGTGATAAGGATGGG